TTACAAATAATATAGGGAGAAAAGTACAAAGAAAAAGTAGAAAGCACAAAGGAAAAGTACAAAGAAAAAGTAGAAAGTACAAAGGAAAAGTACAAAGTAAAAGAATTTGTGCCTAGCTACGCTACAGTTTCATAAGTTTCCTACACGCTTAATCCAATCCAAACCATTTGATAGACTATAAAATTTGAAGACATTTACCTATTTCATAAGTTCTTTTCAAGTTTTCAAATAAAGATAAAAATTACTACATTTGATAGATGAAAGTAATCCAAAACTGAATCTAAATTCAAATCTTTAACAGATGAAAGAAATCATAGTACATCTGTCTATTGCCATTCAGCTCATTCTTTGAGTCTGCAATGCAAAAGGCTTTTTCTTTTACTAAAACTAGAAATTTTTGTAAGCTAGAAAGATAGGGAAGAATTTTGGAACTATAAAGTTACCCAGTAATCACAATTACTTGCTGCTTAATGCTTTGTTTTCCTACTCTAATATGTTTTGATATCTCAGCTAATGAAGCGAATGCGTAAGCTAGAAAAGCGTAGAAATGGTACTGGAAAAGTACAAACACTTCAAAGGTGCAAGGCTTGTAGTTGAAAAGCGTTATTAAAGTCAAATTTTCTTCCGCATCGCATTTGCTTCATTAGCTGAGATATTGAAAGATATTAGAGTACGTAAAAAAGATCGAAAACAAAGCACCGTATTTTCTCTAATAGTAGTGTACCCAAAGCTTTGTCTAAATTCCTCGAAATCTCGAAAAGCGCTTATCAGAACCTATCGATGTGGGGTCGGAAAATGTAGCTGACGATGAGATCTAGTGGGAGATTTGAGTGTTGAGCTTCTGGGAAAACTTGGAAACCGTAAAATCGTCACCAACTCGGCTCGGTGCGGTGCACTACTATTAGAGAAAATACGGTAGTTGCAAGTGACGTCACGGTAACTTTATATTATATTTTATTACTTGATATAGCTTCAAAATCCTACCCTAAAATCATTAATGAAATTGAAAGAAGAAACACAAATGAAAAAAAAAGGTTTTGCAAAAGCAGACAGTCTTGCAGACATTTCCATGTCGTTTCCAGGTTTACACCCCCTTCACCTTGTCTATTTTTGGTGATCACAGATCTTTCCCCTCCAAAACGTTACCTGTGTTATGAATGCGGAAGTGTCTTTCCCCATTCCTTTCCCCCACTCGATTTTATCCATTTTGGGTGCATCTCTCTTTTCTTAAAGATTCGAGGTCATTTTTCTTTTGAACCTTTTTTCAGATCGTCCATTTTGAGAACTTTTTCAGTTTTTTTTTTCTTTTGCAAGATCGCTGAATGAGCTCGTTTTTTTTTGGGCGGATACGGTTGGTGAGGAATGATAAAAGGAAATCCGTTAAAGACTAAAAATCTGCAGAAATTATTGAGTGTTGATGTTGGGATTTAGAAATTATTGAATCTTTTGAAGACTAGCCAAAGAGTACTTTAAGATCTTTTTCAACATGAGCACCAGCGCCAGTTCTGTAGCATTTCACTTGCTCACCGTGACTCAAAGAAACAGAATACCAAGTAGCTGAGCAGAAACAGAATACCAACTAGCTACAATAAAGTTGAACATAAATCAACTTTGATCTAAACTAGAGTACCGGATCACAAGTGAAACAGTTTTTCTAGTAAGCCTAAAATTTTCGTAGACTGACTTTCATGGAAACTTCGTTTTTTCTTCAAAGATTCTCAATTTTCGACTTTGACTTTCCTCAAAGATTCTCAATTTGAAACTTGCAAACATTTCAAGGTTTTTCTGCAAATTTCTCTAGTCTTTCTTGCAAAATCTGAGATCAAATCTTGTGTCTTTAATCGAATCTTCTCAGTCTGCAAAATCCAATTGCATCAATCAATCAATCACAGAGATTCCAAGATCCGCCAAAAACTTTTCCAGTTTCTATTTTCCACAAATACGGTATCGCCGAAGAAAATGAAAGTCTTTAAGAATTCAGATTTTTATTTACTTAGGGATAGTGCTTTGCAGATGTAACTTGGAAACATTGTGAAAGCATCGTCGTCGCTGTATGCCAACCACCTGCTTTTGAACCTGCTGTATGCTAACCACCTGCTGCTAACCACCTGGAACAGTTGAAACACCTGCTTCTTGTATAGCTTTGAGCTATAAACAACAACTCTGTTTCCGAAAACATTTCCTCGCCACCAGCTCCTCCATCATTCTGGCTCCTCCATCATCAAAAATCGACGATAATCGTCTCCTCATCTAAACGTTAAATCTGAATCCCTTTTCAATTACAAAAACCTTTCCAAGCATCGAACTTTCCCAGAAGCCTCCAACGAGAGTTCGAGTTCGAGAACTAATCCAGGTTAAGTCTAAATTAGAATTTAAGACTTATACAGGATGGCGCACGATTATGGAAACTCGGCTTTTCGACTATAAATCGACGCCCAATAATTTCTACTGTGTTTTAATATAGACCTTAATCTATAGTACAGTATAAAAAACTACGTTTACATTTGCTGACATTGTTAATTTTGATCCCTGACCTATTTCAATCCCTGACAGAATCCCTGACAGAATCCCTGACATATTTCAATCCCTGACAGAATCCCTGACAGAATCTCTGACATATTTCAATCCCTGACAGAATCCCTGACATATTTCAAACAAGCAAGCGATCCCATCAACATCATCAAATCCATCTGGACAATGTGCAGTAAAAAAATCGAATTGAAAAGGTAATAAAACGGAATGCGGAAAAATGAGCGTATAGTTAAAGGGTTTGAATTGAAATTTCTAGACTCAAAAAAGAACACAATGTAAAATGGTGATTTGTTAACTTAAAAAGAGTGATTTTCGATCTATACTTCTGATTATTTAACCACTTTTCGTGTCATTTTTTCACTCTTTTCTTATTGCCTATCGAGAACAAAAATCAGTTTATCTTTCTGTTTTCATTTTATTAAAAAAAAATCCTTTTTGATTTCCAAGAAAATCATTGAACTTTCTTTTATTACTTTCTTATTTATTCTTTCTTTTCTGAACTTTCTTTCCTTTTAGAAATTCCAGTCATCTCCAAGAAGTTTGTGCATAAATCTTTTCCAATAAGAACTGCCAGAATTTGGAATTGACTCCCCAGAGTTTTGAGAGAGTCCAATAATCTCGAAACCTTTAAATAATCTGTAGATGTAGGTGATCTTGATCTTGAAGCTCTAGTGGATCCTTGACGTTATCTGTGCTACTCATATATTGCATATCTTTTATCGTGTTGCTTTTTATCGGCCCTTTTCGTGTTTATTTGTATGAATTGATGTGTATTAAACTTAAATCTAGCGCACTTTATCTCAGCTCATGATTAAAGTATCTATTAAAAAGCGGATAGGCTAAGCACTTTCATATGTCAGTTAGGAAAAAAAATGCTTTAACCGATACAGAATCGGATTTTATCTGTCCACTGAGTTAAAGTCTCCAAGTTGTACTTGTTACCTCCAATAAGTTTGTGTATAACTCTTTTCCAATAAGAACTGCCGGAATTTGGAATCGACTCCCTAGAGTTTTGAGAGAGTCCAATAATCTCGAAACCTTTAAATAATCTGTAGATGGTGACGACCTTGAAGCTCTAGTGAATTCTTGACGTTATCTGTGCTACCTATTACATACATTATATCGTGTTGCTTTTTATCGGCCCTTTTCGTGTTTATTTGTATGAATTGTGTATTAATCTTAAATCTAGCGTACTTTATTTCAAGTCCTGACTAAAGTATCTATTTTTAAAAGTCTATCATTGAAAAGAGTATTTCTTTTTTTTCTGGAGTCTCAAAGTAGACATGGATTTCCTGCAAATTGTAATGGGTAGGCTATATTAAGTTTAATTAGTTAGTAAAGCGATTAATATGTAAATTAAACGATTAATATCTGTAGATGATTATGATCTTGAAGCTCTAGTGAATTCTTGACGTTATCTGTGCTACCCATATATTATATTATATCGTGTTGCTTTTTATCGGTTCTTTTTCGTGTTGATGTGTATGAATTGATGTGTATTAAACTTAAATCTAGCGCACTTTATCTCAGCTCATGATTAAAGTATCTATTAAAAAGCGGATAGGCTAATCACTTTCATATGTCAGTTAGGAGAAAAATGCTTTAACCGATACAGAATCGGATTTTATCTGTCCACTGAGTTAAAGTCTCCAAGTTGAATGGATACTTGTTACCTCCAATAAGTTTGTGTATAACTTTTTTCCAATAAGAACTGCCAGAATTTGGAATCGACCCCCCAGAGTTTCGAGAGAGTCCAATAAATTCAATAAACCTTTAAATGATCTGTAGATGATCTTGGTCTTGAAGCTCTAGTAAATTCTTGACGTTATCTGTGCTATCCATATATTATATTATATCGTGTTGCTTTTTATCGGTTCTTTTTCGTGTTGATGTGTATGAATTGACGGGTATTAAACTTAAATCTAGCGCACTTTATCTCAGCTCATGATTAAAGTATCTATATATTATAAATAATGGGAAAGTCTACTTGTATTCCATTTGTTCTAAGCTTTGCTGACATTTTCAGCTTTTGTGCTTTATTCTTTTGTTCATTGGGAAACTTTATGATCGTATGGATAAGTACGAGGATCAGATTATGTTAAATATACTGTAATACTTCTAAGACACACTAAAATGCTAAAAAATGACATAAAATCGCGAGTTTTCAAGTAAAATCTCTGAAATATGACCTAAAAAGGCACATTTCATAGACCCAAATATAGAAATAAACGAAATTGAATCCTCCTTACTTATCGAGAAAACTTTGAAATAAAATATTATGTAAATTACATCAAGTGATACAAAAATTGGCTAATCGAATCGAACGAATCGAACTATCGAATTGATTACGAAAATTTTTGAAAATAATCAATCAATCTAAAAAACAAACAAAAAAATACCAGTGACTTTTACCCGTCGAGACGTAAAGTAAATAAAAAAAAATGTAAAAGTTGTGCTAAATCAAATCACAATACATAATATCGACTATCCGGTTGGGGATCGGCGAAAAGCCACTCATCCAGTGGCTTCAAAATCTCCCAACACGAGTGAATCGGCGTCTTGCATTGTTTTTCTGTCCAACTAAAATATAGGTTACGTTCGATCTAGAAATCCGTTCGATCTAGACATCCGCCCGATCTAGAAATCCGTTCGATCTAGAAATTCGGCCGATCTAGACTGATTCAGGATTGGACGTCCGATCTAGAATCAAGTCGATCACTCTAAAGCTGGATCGGATTTCTGATTTAGAGTGATCGACTTGATACTAGATCGGACGTCCAATCCAGAATCAGATGTTTGATCGCACTTCATTCTAGAATCAGTCTAGATCGGACGTAAAATAGATAATCTAAAATGGTCATCTGATCGAATTTTGATCGTAAATACTCTAACAGAACGCCATCTCTCAGTCCTCCGTCTAACTTCTTAGAAAATCATTTCTTTCTCAGCTCCTAGATTCTTCACAACTTTTGGTACCAAAAAATACTAGATTTCAAGGGCTATCATTTGACACCATAAAGCACACTGTAGCTTAAAGCAGCGCAGAGAGCCGGACGTTTAAAGTCAGACTACACGACCGTACGCTTATCATTATGACGTTCTATTAGAGTTTACGGTATATAAATCTCGTTGTTTATTATATAATTATTTATAATATTCTTTCTAGTAAATATAATGTTAATTTTTAAAAAAATACTGTTTCAAGCAATTCCCAAGCAATCGATTTGATAGATCCGAGTATTCCGGTCGATTACCATTGAAAATCTTCAAAATCACCGAATCAACTCTAAATTTTAAGCTCAACGCATAAGAAATCCGATCTTCTATTGTTTTAAGCTACAAAATTTTCATTTTCAAAACCTTTTCACAAAGTGATCACTTGAAATCGATGGGAAAACGTTTACGAGAAAATCGAGTCAGCTTTTGTTAGTAAGTTCAGTAAATCTTAGAACAAATGGAATCTTTACAAGTAGACTTTTCCATTATTTATAATCTATAGATACTTTAGTCAGGACCTGAAATAAAGTGCGCCAGATTTAAGATTAATACATTTTAGCATTTTAGCCTTTTAGTGTGTCTTTTATTAGAAGTATTAGAGTATATTTAACATAATCTGATCCTCGTACTTATCCATACGATCCATACGAACCATACGATCCATACGAACCATACGATCCATACGAACCATACGATCCATACGATCCGTACGATCCATACGATCCGTACGATCCATACGATCCGTACGATCCGTACGATCCGTACGATCCGTACGATCCGTACGATCCGTACGATCCGTACGATCCATACGATCCGTACGATCCATACGATCATAAAGTTTCCCAATGAACAAAAGAATAAAGCATAAAAGCTGAAAATGTCAGTAAATCTTAGAACAAATGGAATCTTTACAAGTAGACTTTTCCATTATTTATAATCTATAGATACTTTAGTCAGGACCTGAAATAAAGTGCGCTAGATTTAAGATTTAATTCAGTCTAGATCGGACGTAACATAGATAATCTAATCCGGATTTGAATTTAAGATACACAATTCATACACATCAAAAACCTTTTCACAAAGTGATCACTTGAAATCGATGGGAAAACGTTTACGGGAAAATCGAGAGCCAACCATTTCTCACTCATTTCCCGGAAATTGTAACGAGTGTGCAGCAAAATGGCGTCACTTTTCTTTACCTGAAAAGTTAGCCTTTAAAAAAGATTTCATTCATCAAATCTCTATTCAACTTTGATTTCTTTACCTTCAGGGTTCGATGTTTTTTGTTGAAATACTTGGACACTTGATGTGTTTTCAGATTTCGTGTGTATTCCGGCATGAAAACCGCCTAAATTGGGGGTATTTTGGGATTGAAATGAGCCAGCTTTCAAGGATTTCCATGCGAATTTGAAAAACCCACTTTTCCAGGTCCATCATGTTGAAGAAGGGTTAAATTCTTGAGTCCACTCAAATCGAATCTTGTCGTATTCTCGAGTCTCAACGGGTTAAAGAGCTAAATTTTCATCAGATATTTGGGAAATTGTGATTAAAGCTCTCTGGTTTCTGAATTCGAATTATAGCTATCTGGAAATTGTGATTAACTTGAACAACAAAGATTTCTGTGTTTTTGTTTCTCTGTTTTTGTTTCTCTGTTTTTGTTTCTCTGTTTTTGTTTTTCTGCTTTTGAAACTCACCCTCAATTCAGCGTGTCGAAAAGTGGCTCCTTTGTAATGTGAATGATTTGAGAAGAGCTTTGAGAAGAGCTTTGTTTCTCTGCTTTTGTTTCTCTGCTTTTGAAACTCACCCTCAATTCAGCGTGTCGAAATGTGGCTCCTTTGTAATGTGAATGATTTGAGAAGAGCTTTCGAAAGAAATCAATTGCTTTCCCATTCCTGTTTTTCTTTTGTTTCAAATTTTGATTTTAATAAAAGAAACCTCGGAATGATAAACTCATCAATGTCGTTTAGCGAAGCGATTTTTGTGTCAACACGAAAAGTGCAATCGAGATGAGAAAGTGAATGGGAAAGACGATAGATTGAATCGTTTGGATCGAGGAGGAAAGATGACGGCATTAGAGGCCACGAGCGGAGTGAGAGAATACCCTGAAAAAAGGATTTTAGAGATTCTTAAAATTTTAAAAGCTTCAATCGATATCACCTCATTTGTGAAAACTTTGACACAAAACAATGACAACAATGACACAACTTTGACACGAACTTCTAGTTTTAGGACTTTTGGGGTAAAGTTTAAAATAGTTTAAAGCTTATATTTGCTAATATATTTTTCTCAAAATTTTTCATTGACTTTGCAGTGATACTTTGTAAATTTTCTTATATCAAAGTTTTTCCATAGCTGAATGATAAAAAGCCATCTTAAAAGGTTGAATCCCGCCTCTAGATAGTCTTAACGCTTTTTCAAAAGCCTCTCAGTTATAGCCGAGTGGTCTAGTGGTTAGTGCGATAGTTTACTAAACCGTGCCTTTCGAGTTCCACTGCTTTTGGCGTTTTTTTAGATTTTTTTTTCCAATCTATTCAAAAAGGTTGTTTGTATGAAATTGACTAAATGTATTGTACAAAGCTTTAATTCTACCTTATCTTTATAAAAATCAAGCACTATCTGCACTTTGCGCGACACTGAATGAGTTGACATGACGAAATTCGTGGCTCCGTGTAGCATAGAGATTTCAAAGAACAAGATCAATCGAAGCCAGTCCGAATACCTAGAAGGATCGAACATATGAGCTTGCATAGCTTATCACAAATTACAATTAAACAAACCAATACAAGGGAGCTGTGCATATCGTGTAACCATCTCGATAACTCTCGGGCACTCGACTCACTGGAACTGTCACCCATTTCCCATTTCGAGTCAAGTTTACCTGTAATTTCAAACATTCCTTTCCACCTTGACATTGATTACGATTGATTCAAGTTTTGAAAGAAGTTTTTGAAACAATAAAGAACACCTGGTTAGGTGGAAAACCGGTAAAAACTTCAGAGAGAAAGTGATGAGCACTCCATTCACAACCTGGAGCCCATGCCCAGGGACATTCGCCTAAAATTGGTTAAAGAATCTTTCGGACTTTCAGATTGAACTTTAAAAAATCGTTTTTACAGGTGGAAATTCATTGGCAAAATTCTTAAACCATTCTTTTAATTGATTTGATTGATTGATTGGATTGATTGATTGGATTGATTGATTTGATTGATTCATTGGATTGATTGATTGGATTGATTGATTGGATTGATTGATTGGATTGATTGATTGGATTGATTGGTTTGATTGATTGATTTGATTGATTGATTTGGTTGATTGATTGGATTGATTGATTTGGTTGATTGATTCATTTGATTGATTCATTTGATTTCCATTCTTTTGATTGATTTGATTGATTTTCATTTGATTTTCATTCTTTTGATTGATTCATTTGATTGATTTTTTTTATTTTCATTTGCTTTTCATTCTTTTGATTGATTTGATTGATTGATTACCTTCAATCGCTTCCACTTTCACTGTCCTGATTGTAAGCCCATCAAATGAAAGATTCGGTCCAACATTTGTGCACTGATTATTCGCCAAAATTCGAAACCTTGGTGGATTCATTCTAAATTCTTATATTGTAGAAGATTCGATTGAAATAAACTCATTCACCAAACCTTCGATCATAGTAGACTTTATAGATGATTAAACTCTCATTCTCAACTTCATTTCTTTGTTCATCGTTTGAATGCTTTTCGATTTCCTCTCGAATTTGTCCATTTAAATGATTTTCTATTGTTGGTATTGTTGCTTGGAGATCTTGGAGATAGACGTGATCTTGTTTTAAAGAACTGAAAACAATTTCAATAGTAAGATTTGATAAAATAAATTGATAAATTTGGTAAAAACCCAAAACTAAACCAAAAAAAAAAGATTAGCTGGCTTTGTTTTGGGTTTAAAAGCTAATTAAAGCTTTGGAAGGTTGACAAGTTGTACATAACAAGTTGATGACAAGTTGTACATGACAAGTTGTACATGACAAGTTGTACATGACAAGTTGTACATGACAAGTTGTACATGACAAGTTGTACTACACAAGTTGTACATCACAAGTTGATGACAAGTTGTATATGACAAGTTGTACATGACAAGTTTAATAGCTAATTAAAACTTTGAGAACGTTGACAAGTTGTATAACAAAATTTAGTAAAATAGAAACAACAGTAACAAAAAAAAGAATCTTAATTTCTTTCTTCATGTTAAATAGAACATAAAAATGTTTTACGAAAAAAACCAACCGTTTATTGATCATCAAACATATAAATAACGCTCCGATACAGAAAAATAGCATCAAATTTTGAAGTGATAACATCGATCTCTTTATCTATAGTATAAAATTAGAAAAATCACAATATTTTTATTGATTTATGTCTATTTGTAGATTTAAGAAAGAAAAAACATCAAAGATTTCGATGATCGGTGTTTAGATTGCTTTCTTGTTTATTATTATCTTTTTTTATCTTTTTTATTATCTTTTTTTATCTTTCATATACAGTGGCGGACATAAACTTATCACACCCCAAAATAATTTCTTATTTCTCCTCTAACTTTTTTTCTAAACAACCCTTTGAGCTAAAAGTTGGTTTAGACACGTAAAAACAAACATATTTTAATATTTTAAGTCAAAAAACTAAATATCTCTGATGAAAAACTTTTTTTGAACTTTTTTATTATAAACTCGAACGACATTGACTTATCACACCTCATAAAAACGACACAAAACATTAAAATTTCGTTTTTATTTTGGGTTTTTTTCCGACTTTTGAATCTAATCTCATTAAAACTCTTTCTAGGTATATGGGAAAGAAGAAGCAAATTTCGTTGGAGAAAAGGGAGGACGTTCTTCGTCTTCACCGCCAACAGAAGAGTCAGAAAGAAATTGGGAGTGTTTTGGGAATCGATCGGACCACGGTCAACAAAATTTTGGCTCTACACTGTCGGACGGGATCGCTCGAAGCAAAAAAGAATAAGGGAGCCTTACGAAAAACCACTCAACGAGACGACAATCGGATTCTCGAGCTCTCCAAGGCGGACCCATTCAAGACGGCGGTCGACATTCATGCGGAGTTGCCAAGAAACGTTAAGGATTCGATCTCTCCACGGACAGTCCAACGGCGCCTAAACCATGCCAACCGATTTGGTCGTCGTCCTGCTCACAAACCGCTCATTTCCGCAAAGAATCGGAAGCGTCGAGTGAAGTTCGCCAAGGACCACGTTAAATGGACTAAGCAACAGTGGCAAAATGTGCTTTTCAGCGACGAGTCCAAGTTCAACTTGTTTGGAAGTGATGGAATTCAATATGTGAGACATCCTCCCAATAAAAGATTCGACCCGAAATATATTTTACCGGCTGTTAAATATGGGGGGCGGAAGTGTGACTATTTGGGGTGGCTTTTCGGCTCGCGGATTGGTGGCGCTGAAACGAATCGACGGGATCATGGATCAATTTGTCTACTTGGATATCTTACAGAACCATATGTTACCGTCTGCTACTCGGTTCATGCCTCCAAACTTCATATACCAGCAAGACAACGATCCTAAGCACAAAGCACGCCGCGTCACTCAATGGTTCACCCAACAAGGGCTGCAAGTGATGGACTGGCCCAGTCAAAGTCCGGATCTCAACCCAATCGAACACCTGTGGGATGTGCTTGAGAGGAGTTGCAAAGGGTATAAGACTAAAAATGCTCAAGAGAAATTCGACTTATTGGTCAAGAAATGGACCGAGATCCCTCAAGCCACACTAGACACACTCATCGAATCCATGCAACGTCGGTGTGCTGCACTGATTGCTTCAAAAGGATTCCCAACGAAGTATTAAGTTTTTGTTCCCGTTTTGATTTATCAGCCGTTGTTTTTGGGTAGTTTTTAATAGCTTTTTGTGTTGTTTTTATGAGGTGTGATAAGTCAATGTCGTTCGAGTTTATAATAAAAAAGTCCAAAAAAAGTTTTTCATCAGAGATATTTAGTTTTTTGACTTAAAATATTAAAATATGTTTGTTTTTACGTGTCTAAACCAACTTTTAGCTCAAAGGGTTGTTTAGAAAAAAAAGTTAGAGGAGAAATAAGAAATTATTTTGGGGTGTGATAAGTTTATGTCCGCCACTGTATATATGTCGTAGCCGCTTACGAAATTCAGCCTCTAACGAATGATTCGTTAACGGCTAGCCGTTAACGAATCATTCGTTAGCGGCTGAATTTCGTAAGCGGCTACGACATATATATATGCTTTATTCATGGGGCGAATAGAAGCGAATCAGATAATCATAACTGCATATAACATATTGCTACAATACTCTCACCGAAAAAAAGAGAGAGTACGGTTAGGAAACACCGATACAAAAAGATTAAATATAGGGCAGATTTGACATGGCAAATAAGATCTAATTCGTTCACAGATACATTTCTTTCTTATTATCTTTTTCATACTTTTGCACTTTTACTTTTGCAAAAGAAATTTAAATATAAAATTAGAAAAATCACCAAAAATCAATATTTTTATTGATTTCTGTGTATTTGTACGTTTAAAATTTGAAAAAAAAAGACTTTCATAAGCAAAAGAAAAAAAGATTCTCAAAAAGAGCGCAATTTTTGAGGAAAGCAAAAGAAATTGAGAATATTCAGAGAGGAAAGGGAAAAATCGTTGTAATCATAAAAAAAGCAAGCAGAAAAAAAATGAGCTTTGATTTTTTTATGGTTTAAGCAGAAAAAAGAGCTTTCAATGAATTAGAGAGCGATTTTTTTTTTGAAAAGCTATTTTAAATCTCCCATAAAATAGAGTCATTTTGGATTTGGATATGTTAATGGAAATTATGATTTTAAATAGAAATAATTTTATGTAAAATCAATGGATTTAGCTGGCAATGAGAAGAAAAAAGAAAAGATTTCGATGATCGGTCTTTAGATTGCTTTTTTTTTTGTTATTATCTTTTTCATACTTTTGCAAAAGAAATTTAAATATAAATAGCAAATAAGTAAAGCAATAAATAGAAAAATCATCAATTGCTTGCTTTAATTAAATGTTTATTACCGTATTTTCTCTAATAGTAGTGCACCCCGAGCGTCGCCTAAATTGCTCGAAATCGAAATCCGCTTATCAGAACCTATTGATGTGGGGTCGGAAAATGTAGCTGACGATGAGATCTTGTGGAGGATTTGAGGGTTAAGCTTCTGGGAAAACTTGGAAACTGTAAAAGCGTCACCAACTCGGCTCACCGGGAAATATTAGGGAAATAGATCAGTCTGATCTACTAGCCTAACCTGAAATAATATACCGTCTTCGCTCTAATAGTAGTGTACCCAAAACTTCGCCTAAATTGCTCGAAATCTTGAGAACCGCTTATCAGAACCTATCGATGTGGGGTCGGAAAATGTAGCTGACGATGAGATCTTGTGGGGGATTAGAGTGTTGGACTTCTGGGAAAACTTGGAAATGGATAAAATGGTCACCAACTCGGCTTGCCGGGGTGCACTACTATTAGAGAAAATACGGTAATTTACTTTTTTTAGTTACAACCGTCGTAACCGACCGGATAGGAGTCTTGTGTCCTCGTCGGGGGGTTAATGGCTCAATCTTCAATCGCGGCCGCTAGAAATATTCGTTCTTTTTTCCCTTTTTATTATGGATTTTTTTTTCTTAACAACATTTCGGCAATAGGGGTAATTAGGGGCAAAAAAATTTCCTCCGTTGTATTGTAATTCATTGTTCGTGTCGAATAAATATACTTTAAGCTTATTTTGGCCTGTTTCCGACTAATGTAACAATTTGTTTGTTTTGTTTTATAAAATCTTTCTAAATCACCAAGAAGAAATCAACTGAAAAGATTGTTTTATGAAAATTAACACCAAAATAAGTGAGAAGTAATCAAAAAAAAAAGCGGCGATCAAAGCGGCGAAAATGCGCTTGCGTTTTATTTTATTTTTCTTTCTTATTTTCATTGAATATAGAAAAAAAACAAAAAATTTGCTATCTACTGAATGCTATCTTTTTTTTAGAGCCGTTTAGAACAAAACTGAGATGAGAAAATGCCAAAAAAACGAAAAAAGGACTCAAATAAAAGGTTAGCTTTTTCTCGGCACCAATTCTGTTTTCAGTCATTCAAAAGTATACAAAATGTAGATAATTTTATTCTGCATCCAATAAGAAATAAGAAACACATGGAAATTCAACTGTGCAGGGACTATTTTTGTCGTGATCAGCTGTTTTGCTGTTTTGATGATCTCCCAAATAAGTTCTATGAACTAAACCCCATCATCGTTACGCTTTTTGAGTTGTCGTGATCAGCTGTTTTGCTGTTTAAATACGAAAGCCTCAAAGGAAAAGCTCTATGTCGCTTTATTGAATTGAAATATTTAGCATTAAATTGAATTAATAAAAATTTGAATAGGCAAATTTATGAGTGACTGAGTTGCCGTTTTGGCGAACAACAAATGCACACACACACACACACACACACACACACACACACACACACATGTGTTCCGTCCAGATGTCTTCCCATTTTCCCCATAAAATTTTGCTATTTTCTTTTTCACTCATAATTCTTTTATCTTTCTTTCCCCATTCTCATATTCATTTTTAAAATTAAAATTCTTTTTAATCGATTCGTTTTTGAAAAAAGAAATGAATTTTAAACGCTGCTAATATCAGAAAAAAAATTTCAAATTTCCTTTTCTCTGTCCCATTTTTTTTTTTTTTTGCTTGAATTGAGATTTTTCTTCTCTTATTTTTCTCCATTTTACAATAATAATAAAGAATTTTTTATTTCCCGAATATTTTAAAGCATTGAAAAGCATTTTAAAGCATTGAAAATGAAAAATTATTGCACGAATAACGAGTGGAAACTTGGGGGAAGACGATCAGTCGGGATCGAATATCTAAAAATAAAAAAATTGAGATTTTTAACTCATCAATCCCATTAGGCGGGAGTGGGACAAATGCGACCTTTTTTTGCGCACCCGGACATTTGCGCACCTTTTTTTCCGCACTTAGCCCATTAGCGCACCTTTTTTCGCGTTTTAAAAAAGCTCTAAAAGCTAATATTAACCAATTTCTATTCCAAAAGTTGTTTTTTTAGGTAATTTGAGGGTGTCGAATTCAAATTTTGACATAACAGAGCGTGTGGAAGCGAACGGACGGAGTTATACAAAGAAAAATCAACAATTTTCTGTAATTTGACCTAGCCGTTTTGTCTTTTTCTTTGTATAACTCCGTCCGTTCGCTTCCACAAGCTCTGATATGCCAAAATTTCGATTCTACGCCCTAAAATTACCTAGAAAAACAACTTTTGGAATAGAAATTGGTTAATATTAGCTTTTAGAGCTTTTTTAAAACGCGAAAAAAGGTGCGCTAATGGGCAAGGTGCGGAAAAAAAGGTCGCATTTGTCCCACTCCCCATTAGTCATTGATTTTAAGCATTTTTATTAATCTAATATTAACATTAAATAAATATAGCTAAATTCTTTATTACCTGCAAATCTCTGATAAATCTTTAGCATCTAAGATAAGGAAAATCGGCAAATCCTCGTCTTTCACCGTCATCACTGGCACCAAAAGGACACCTAAATGAGAAAGGATTTGATGAAAAGTAACTAGAGAAAGGGTTTTTATAAACAGCACTTAGTCGATTCGATAGAGCTTTTAAAGCTGATTTCGAATCTGTTTTCATCATCGGAAACGGAGATTTCAATCACGAATTATCAAGCTTTAAAGAATTCTCTGACGTTGTTAGGCGTATCTTTTTACCTTTTTACCTCTAAAAAAACATCTAGCAAACAAATTTGATGATAAATATTTACAAAAGATGTATTTATTTGTTAATTTTTCTTATTTACCATCATCCTCATCGATTCCCTCTGGATCGCCAAGGAAAACCGGTTCCGCGCACAGCTGTCTCTCATGATCTCTCGTCCAGTATTGCACTTTACCCGTTTCCACATCAGCCTTTACTATCTAAAAGGTTATAGAAAGACTTTTAGATCTTTCAAACGAACCCCAACAAGTTTATTCGTTTCCTCGGGAAACAACAGCGTTGATCCATAAACATATCGATACGGTCTCATGTTGTATTTATCCCAATTGTAACGTGGGAATTCAAAAGCTGCAAAAATAACGTTTAAATGGAAAGCTTAAAACCTTTGAAAGCTTTAAAAGCTTTAAAATTTACAGAAAAAAACTCTTACTGAAATCACAAAGTTTGACGGGAGTGCAGAAGACAGAGCCATCCGTTTGTAGAATTGCTGTGGAACCGCGATGATGGGAAGAGCTCTGAAAAGAGTCCATGTTAAAAGAGCAAATCGATTAAAGCGCGATCAATATTGATCAACCAATATTATTGATTGCTCTCATCGATTCATAACTTTATGTTAAACACTTCTCTTTTCTAGAAAGATAGTGTGACTCTGGCCGTCTGCCCGGCCCTAGATCTTGCCAAGAATTGCTCAAATCGAGCTGAAAGTTTCACATCAAACAGTCAACTTTTTATTATCTTTGATATAACCCATTTCCTTTTTTAATCTGTTCAACCATTTTTCTTAAGAATGCAAATTATGACGCTTTTTAAGGAGTTTTTCTTTAGGCCTCTATATCTTAGCCCAGAGATGAGATAAAGAAATGTTTTTTGGCTCAAAAGAAAGCCCAGAGTCTCTAGATTAAAATATAATATTAGTTTTTGAATTTAAAAAATCAAAAACCTAAGCCTGACTCTGAGAAAAATGCTTGGTTGGGGTGGTCGAGTGGTCTAACGCCGGCGCCGGCTACCAGTCCAGCTCGAGACCGGGTTCGATTCCTCTCGACACCAAGGGCTTTTAATTGGACTTAGAATTTCAACCTTTGGTTGGATTTTCTAAAGCCTTGGCCTTAACTTGGCTTGACCTGAAGAATCGGCCCTAGGAACAGCCCTGGCCCCAGCCCTTTCCCTTCACCCATCTCGGTCGAGAGGAGTATTGCACATCCGCGCGAAATAAGGCAAAAAATCGTTTTCTATAGGATTTTTACGTTTGAATAGCCGATTGACGCAGAAAAACGTGCTGAATACGAAAATAAAAGGATTTTTGAAATCCCTTCGACAGATTTTTTAAAAATAGAGTTTTAATGATTTTACTGTGTTAAATTTCAGCCTGATTTTATTGTCGGAGCAAAAATTTTGGAAACAAAAGCCTAAAACGAAAATGTAAACCGCAAGTTTTATTCTACGGGCTTTTCTCTATCTTTTGATACCAAAAGCATGAAAATTGATCAACCCTATAAAAAGTTATAATCTTTCGAAAATAAAAATGTGGTTCCTGGCTTATTTTATTATCAGACCTGGGGCATTTTAATTAATCTTGTTTTCAATGCTGTTGTTTCAATAAACTTTAAAATGTTATTTCAAAACGTTTAACATATACCGTTGCAAACTGTGCGCTAATTCCTTTCTTGGATTAATTCCTGTCGGGGCCTGAAAAATTCAAAAGCAAAGCATATGTTCATAAAAAAACAACTTTACTAAAAATCCGTAGACATCGACGCTTCATCTTGAAAAGAAGAAAAATAGCGAAAGGGGTTTGATTGTAGCAAAAAAAGTTTAATTTTGCTCTTTTTCTCTTTCGGATTCCGGTAGTCTATCCGTACCATAACCCAGGAATCACATTTTTATTTTCAAAAGGTTATAACTTTTTATAGGGTTGATCAATTTTCATGCTTTTGGTATCAAAAGATAGAGAAAAGCCCGTAGAATAAAACTTGCGGTTTACATTTTCGTTTTAGACTTTTGTTTCCAAAATTTTGCTCCGACAATAAAATATGGCTGAAATTTAAAACAGTAAAATCATTAAAACTCGATTTTTAAAAAATCTGTCGAAGGGATTTCAAAAATTCTTTTATTTTCGTATTCAGCACATTTTTCTGCGTCAATCGGCTATTCAAACGTAAAAATCCTATAGAAAACACATTTTCGCGCGGATGTGTATTGCCCCTCCTATCCCGTTTCATTGGTTTATTTCAGTGATTTGTTTCGTTATTACTTTTGGATTGACAAAAGCCGCTAGTATCGTCTATTTGAGTGGCCCCGGGTTTGGTGCCAGGGGTTTGGGTGTGGGTGTGACCCAGATACGCGGGGCCGACTCAGAACGATTATGAAAAGGGAAGCACCTTGTATCGGACCGATTTGCCAGATGGCGATCAATTACGCGGGCGCACAAAGAACATCTCGAGCTCTTTTAAAGGGATTTTTCTTTCGTTTTCTAGATGGTACAAAAAGAAGATATTGAGCTGTAAATTTGTACCCGCAGGTTTTCCGGATTGGGGAATCGTTTGAACATATTTTGTTAGGTAAATTAGAACTTGAATTTAATTTTAAAGTTCTCGAAATTAGTCTATTATTAGCCTAAACTTGTTCGTTCGTTTGCTCAGGAAATTTTCCGAAAAATCTAACAGTATCCTCTAACAGTACTTTGTTCAAATCATCTCCATCTTTCGCTCCATCAGGAATCGTTGTCGGAATGACCATACGGTAGAGATGGGGAATGAAATCGGGATTCTAAATTGAGCCCTAGATCTAGTGATTCAAATGTAAATGAATGTTTGATATCTGTCCTTACCCTTGTTCCAAACGTGCCATCTCTCATATGTTCCATCAAAAGATCATCGAATTTCCCAGGGTTTTTCATGTGACAGAAATCGGCAACTGAATATTATTATTGGTTTAAAATTCTAAAAAAGGTTTAAACCAATAAAACCATCAGCTTCATAAGTGTTTGCGTGGTGAAAAGTAAAGAAGGGAGGAGCGGTGAACTGAATTGATTTTAATTTACGACTACAGTAAGTACTAGACATGGGAATCGGGTTAGGTCGAGAGAATCAGGAGGGTTCGGGTCAGGTCAAGTCGGGAAAGCGGAAAGCTCAAATTTTTCGGGTCAACCTTCGACAGCCGATCCGATGTCGGGTCCGATGTCTAGTAACTACGGTAACTGGGATCAGTTAACAAAGTATTTGATCAATCGAATTCGATCTTTCGGGTTATTTCGGGTCATCCTTCGACCCGATTCGACAGCTGATTCGATGTCTAGTAACTACGGTAACTGGTAACTGGGATCAGTTAACAAAGTATTTGATCAATCGAAGCTACTGTAAAGGTAGTTAGAATTTGGTTTAACTATCGATTTCTAAAGACTAAAGAGTCTCGTCTCTTTTCAGTATCCTAGAATGAAGATCTTCAGTTGAAAGCCTGTCTTTAAATTTCGTCTAGCATACTGTAAGTATACTGTAGTTAGGCAAAAACATTCACATGTAAATAGCTATGCAAATTGTTTAAAGGAAATCCATTTTGTATTTGAATCCGAATTCGGCAATGATTGACAAAAAGAAAAGCCATGCCTGAATCGTATGCTTCATTCCGGTTTTCTTGTCGACCACAATCACATTCGTATTAGTTTCATCTTTCCAGTATAAACTATCATGGAATGAATAAGAGATCACTTTTCTGAACTCTTTATTGTCACTTTATTGTCTTCATCTCCCCATCACCTCATCAACAATTTTTTCACAGAGATTCTAACGGGTGTCTCAAAAAGAACAGCATAATTATCAGACATTCCGAATGAATGATGATAACCGGCATTCCATCGATCATCGTATGGCACTTTAGCCAATAAAGTCGTTTCTTCAAAGCTACCTTTTGACCCTAAAAAAGTCATTGTTTTGTTTTTGTTTGTTATTGAAAAACTTTTATGTTTAAATAGTAAAGTAGTTTGATTGGGAATAGTTAGAGTTATTTACTATGGAAATAGTTATATTCAATTGTTAGTAAAGTAGTTTGATTGAGAATAGTTATAGTTATCTATTATAGAAATAATTATATTCAGTTGTTGGTAAAGTATTAGGTTGATGCATAAGTCTTTTCGTTTTTTTCGTACTTCTGTTAAAAAGTAACAAATTCACGAATTAATCTATAGTTTGCTCTATAAAAAAAGTGTTTTTTTGTTCAATTTGCATCTTTTTAAATGAATTTCGGTTCACTTTCAAGCAAATTCGAGAGTGAAAAACGCCTTTTTCGTAAAAATCTATAAAAAAACTCTACGGAAAAATTGGCTGAATGAATTTCTCTGAAATTTTGGCGAAATATCAAACGTTTTTTTTCTCTATCTTTTATCTATTGACACGAAGATAGGTTTTCTTTAGCTAAGGTGTCTAAACCGCATCATCGAGTTAGCCCTTTTTGACTACCCGACTTCATACTCTCAAGAAAATCCAGGCATTTCTTTAGCTAAGGTGTCTAAACCGCATCATCGAGTTAGCCCTTTTTGACTACCCGACTTCATACTCTCAAGAAAATCCAGGCATTAAATATTTTTAAACCCGTTTTAATGTTATTTTGCAGAAAAATAATTGCTTTTTCTAATGAAATCAACCGTAGTTTAATTGGTGCATTTGTTGGCTTGAAACGGCAGACGAAAAGGAACAAAAACACTTATGCATCAACCTAATAGATTGATTGGGAATAGTTATAGTTATTTACTATAGAAATGGTTATATTCATTTGTTAGTAAAGTAGTTTGACTGGGAATTATAGTTATTTACTATGGAAATTATAGTTATTTACTATAGAAATTGTT